CACACACACACACACAAACACACACACACACACACACACACACACACACACACACACACACACACTGATAATAATAAACGCACAAAAAAACATAGAAGTACAAACAAAAAAAAGGTAGTCATGAAATGTCATACAAAAGTCATGTCGAAATCACATGTACAAGTCCAATATGAAATACATGTCGCATGTCACAACGCATGATACAAATTGTCGCCGACAATCATACTGAGTCGTACGGAGTCCTACAACGTTGGGATGCAGCCTACTCTGCTAACCAACAAATCTGAAAGGAAATCCCTAACATACATCCACGTCATACGAAGAGTCGGAATGAAGTCTTGCCTCGAACATAAACCCAATAACCAAAAAAAAAGATCCGAACGCCGCACATAAATGATAAACCATAAAAGGAAAAAAAAAAAAACACTATCGACGATACTACCTGCCCACTGAAGTCCGTGAACTGGTCCTGAGTGCGTGAGGCCTAACCATATGTACATTGTCCTGCATTATGTACAAAAAGGACTGCACGCTGCGCGCAAACAACACAAACGTGGCGTGGAAGGGGAACGAAGCTGTCACTACCGTCAACCCCCCTTCCCCTTACCACTACCTCTTTGCCTCTCCCCACCCCTGCGTCGTGTCGATGAAACACCCCCTCGGCTCACCGCGGTCGCAACGGATGACCCTCACCTCCTCCCACCCCTCGTCTTCCGCCGCCCCGGAGGGGACGGGTCATCAACGTCGTCGCAGCGTCTACTAGAGCCACGTCATGTACCAGAGCCACGCCGTGGTGGAGGGGAGGGCTCGTCATCGTCGTCGTATTTGTCGTCATCCCCGTTGTCGCTCTCCTCCTCCACACTGTCCTTGTCGTCCCTGTACTCGTCATCCTCCTCTGGGACCTCCTCAAGCGCCGGCTCCGTCTCCGGAGCGTCCTCCACCACGGTCACAGGGTCAGTCCCCGTTCTCACCCGAACAATCCTTGCACTCACCTGTGTCACCTCTGCGACTGTCCTCTCACGACCCGAACCTCGTGGCATCCCCAACCCCTCGGCTCCAAAAGACTCCCCCAATGCGGCACCCTCCGCTGCAGGCATGGGACACGGACGAGGTGCTCCGCTCCTGCAAAGAGTCTGGTCACGCACTGCACGTGCTGCTGCTGCTAAAGCGGGCGCCAAGGTAGACCCCGCCTCTCCACCCCCACGAACATGTCTCGACTGAGATACTGCCGCCATAACCTCCCTCGTCGCACCCCTCCCGGTGTCAACCCCGGCCAAACCTAGTTGCCGTCGTGCAGTGTGCACTGTGACCCGACGTGTGGAGTCTAGGTCTATATCTGTCCTCCTGAATAGCGACGTGTCAAGAGGGAGGCTCCCTACGGCCGTCGTGTCACGAAACCTGGGTCTGTTGTGCATGGATGGTAAGCGTGGGGGTGGACGTACTAGTGTCAAGGGGGAATCGTTGTGACGTCCTCTCGACGGAGGAGGCGGCATGAGTGGCCTGCTACGGTTGGTGTCCTCCTGCCGTGTGACGTCACGCACAGCAGCCCGAGCGAGCTCCGCCGCATCCAATGGCTGCAATGTATCGTGAGGAGCTCGCGGCCCACTAACCGGTGTCTGAAGCAGTGGCTCTGATCCTAAATCCACGACTCTGACTGGTGGTACCTCAAAAGATGCCGCCACCCCAAGACCAAACCCCTGGACCCATGGTCGAACTGGCCGCGACGTCGCCATCAACTGCAGGCCTCTGAACCACATTAAGAAACGGGGAGCTCCGGTGATATTTGTTGCGGGTGCATCCCCACACTCCTCCCGACGCTGCTCTCGTACCTCCTCTCATTGCTGCTCAAGCGTGTCTCTCTCTCTCCTGGACAGTCCTGCAAATGCACCCTCGATCTCCTCTGTGGAGTAACCCGTGGCTGCCAGGGCACACATTGTATCCTCTCTCTCCGCACCACGAGGGCTGGGAGGATCCCCTAAAGACATATCAATGAAATCCCCCATCCCCAGCCCAAACGCCTCCCTATCTCCTAATGGCGAGGCCCCCAATGCCCTCCTCGTGCCCGAGGTCAAACCCGCTAGTGCGGGACCCATCTCGTCATTGATCAAACGCTGGACGATCGGGTCAAGGTGGTCCTCTCCCTCTCCTCTGCCCTGGGCAAAATCCCTCCTTGCCATGCCCTCCTCTGCCCCAACCAATGTGGCAGCATCTACATCACTACGTCCTCCTCCATCTCAACCGGCGCATCACCATCGTGTACCCGTACCACGACCTCCACTCTCTCAACCTTCTCACTGTCATGGACCCTCGCCACGATCTCCTCTCTCTCGACCTGGGCACCATCATCTACGTCCACCTGCGCTTTGTCGCCCCCCCCTGCTCTCTCCTCATGCTTGGACGACAACCTCATCTCCACTGCTCCAGCTGCCTCCTCTCCCATACCCTGAATACCCTCAACTCCGCTCGCTCCGGCGGCTCTGTGTTCCTCCGCTCGTCGCACCCTCTCCTCCATCAGTGGCGCCCCGCTATGAATACCCATCGCCTCCAAGTCCCCCCCCTGCTCATCTACGCCAACCTCTGCTCTATCGCCCCCCCTGGTCCTCCAGCGTGGACGATAACCTCATCTCAACTGCTCCAGCTGCCTCCTCTGCCATACCCCGAATACCCTCAACTCCGCTCGCTCTGGCGGCTTCATGCTCTTGCGCTCGTCGCACCCTCTCCTCCATCAGTGGCGCCCTGCTATGAACACCCACCTCCTCCAAGTCCCCCCCCTGCTCATCCACGCGAACCTCTGCTCTATCGCCCCCCCTGGTCTCTCCTCCAGCGTGGACGACAACCTCATCTCCACTGCTCCACCTGCCTCCTCTGCCATACCCTAAATACCCTCAACTGCACCCACTCCGGCTGCTCTGTGCTTCTCCGCTCTTCGCACCCTCTCCTCCATCACTGGCGC